CTCCCTGGCTAACCATCCCCGCCAGAGATAAAATGAGTTCTGGTAGCACCAGAGGTTTACCTGCTGCTTCACACAAAGATAAGCGAATTACAATGTAATTACATACAGGGCCTGTAATTCTCGCAGAACTTTAACAAGCTAGTCTTCCCTGCCATCCCTGTGTGGTAGGTAAACATTGTTTTACCCTTGATTTACAGAGGGGGAAACTGAAGCATGGATAAGTTAAGTAACTTCCCTGATGCCTCAGAGCTGGAAATTCCTGGCTCTTAGGCCTGTTCTTATTTCACACCTCTCTGTGCCATGGGTTTTATCCCTTGGCTCTTAAAGATGTTTCAGAAGAGCATTTGTTTATGCCTTTGCAGATATAATCAACAAAACTTCCTGCAGAAGGTACCCCTCAGAGCCTCTTGGGTGCATAAAAACCTAGATATGTAGATCCTCCTACAATAGTTCATTCCTCCTCCATAAATTATTCAACTCAAGCGGTGGGGAGGGGGTTACATACATATTTGGGGCACGTGAAAAGAAGACTGCGGTGGCAATACCATAAGCAGGCATGAGACTTGGGGAATACCGTTCCCCAAACAATCTCCTCTAATGTCGAGACTGTCATTCGTCAGAAGGAGAGCGGGTCACTACTACCCATTCCATTTTCCTTCCCTCCCTGCAAGATTGTCCCAATTTTAATGGATGATGTCTTGTCCTGCAAATCTTGTTTGGAAGATGTTAATAAGACTCTAAGGGTACGTCTAGACTGAAAAAAAACAAGCCCACAGCAGCGAGTCTCAGAGTCCAGGTCTACAGACTGGCTCGCACTACGGCACTAAAAATAGCTGTACGCTGTAGACATTCCCACTTGGGCTCCAAAACCCGGTGGGGCAGTGGGCCTCAGAGCCAGTGTGGGAACACCTACATGGCTATTTTTAGTGCCTTAGCAGAAGCCCTGCAAGCCCAAGTCTGTAGACCTGGGCTCTGAGACACACTGATGCAAGGTTTTTTGGTTATGATTTTAATTTTTTTTTTACAATATAAATGTACCTGCTGTAACTCTTGGTCCAACTTTGTAACATCAGTCCCATGGTCGGATAGTGTTTCAAGGCATTGTCATTGCATCGTGATGTGCCAGCGTGCCACAAACTTTATGAGGGTGAGATGCATGAGTTGTCTCATTGTCCAAACCTCTGCCTGCCACTTGTGCAAGTTAAGGGATAGATTTGACCTATGTCCTGCTTGTGATTACAGACCCTTCACTCTGCTATCCCCACTTGATCTCAGGGAAGCATCCAATTTAGACTGTCACTGCACTTTTGGAGTGCCCCAGCCAAGGAAGCAGTGCCTCCAGCATGCTTCCTTCAGGGGTCGATATCTCCCCCCATGCCCTCTTCTTCCTGTTAAACAGCCCTTACAGCTTTGTCCGTGGTACTTTTCTCTGTCCCACAGAGACATCTCATAGGTAGCTTTCAACCTTGAACATCACTCCTGTGCTGGTGACCCCCCAACTCTACTGCTTCTCTTTATCAATCTCTGATTGCTCTCTGCCAGTCTTGATTGTCACCTTATGACTAGGTCACGTTACTGATAAATGGATCCGAAACTGTAGTGCATGTTCCTGGTGAAAAGTCCTCTTGATTCCACATCTCTGATTTCACTGTTGCTCTCCTGAACCTTGACTTTCCCCCCAGGGCCAGAAATCTTGGAGCTATCCTAGATCTTGGACTCTAATTGCCTTCCCTTCTAAGTCTCCCTATTTTCCCATCGTAGTTTTCTCAAGACCCTTCCTGTCTAGTCTGACCTCTTCTCTAGTCTTGACTTCCTCTTTGTCTCTTCCTGATGGGGGACTCTTCACACAAGTCGCTTTTTGTACTTCTCCCCTTTCCTTCCAAGCCACTTCCTTTCTTTTCCACCATCTTCCTTTTCTCTTTCACTCATACAATGCGCCCCAGTGTGATAGATGCTATGATACTCCCTGTGCACTAGCTCCCACCTACCACACCTATTAATTAGGAACGAGAGAGACCAGGACCTGACAAGATCCACACACTGTTATAAGCTACACTCTTCCTGTTGTAACCAGGGTTGGGCATTTATTCCACTTCATCTGGAACCCACAAGCCCCATTGATTTGCATAAATAATAAGTTTCAGAGTAGCAGCCGTGTTAGTCTGTATCCGCAAAAAGAACAGGAGTACTTGTGGCACCTTAGAGACTAACAAATTTATTAGAGCATAAGCTTTCGTGGGCTACAGCCCACTTCTTCGGATGCATATAGAGTGGAACATATATTGAGGAGATATATATACACACATACAGAGAGCATGAACAGGTGGGAGTTGTCTTACCAACTCTGAGAGGCCAATTAAGTAAGAGAAATAAACTTTTGAAGTGATAATCAAGATAGCTCAGTACGGACAGTTGGATAAGAAGTGTGAGAATACTTACAAGGGGAGATAGATTCAATGTTTGTAATGGCTCAGCCATTCCCAGTCCTTATTCAATCCTGAGTTGATTGTATCTAGTTTGCATATCAATTCCAGCTCAGCAGTCTCTCGTTGGAGTCTGTTTTTGAAGTTTTTCTGTTGTAAGATAGCCACCCGATCTTAAGGGGACTAGTCCTGCTTAATCCTATTTTCCTCTCCCGGTTGCCTCACTTTCATTTCTCTTCTCCTGAACTTTATCCAGCTTCCTATTCATTTTTCTTTCCTGCCTGTTCTTTGTTTCTTTCCTCCAAGGTGGGTTCTGCTGGGGTTCCTCCCCCCCCCCCCCGATGCTGATTATCTAATTGTCCTTCCCCTACTTGCTCGGCTCCATCCATTCAAAGTGCCGTTCCCAGGGTAAAATCCTGCTCCCGTCACTCTCTGGTGTAACCAGGTGCAATAAACACCCTTTTCCAGCTGTTGCTCCCACAAAGGGTCCGATTCTGGTATCTTCCCAGTTCTGATTATCGTTCCCTTAACTGCCTGGTGGTCTAGCCATTACTGCCCGAAGGCCTAGCCTCCAACATCTTCCCAGCTCTCAAATCTTCCCAGTTCCCACTGTCAAGCCCCTGGCTCCAGTTGTTACCCCCAGTGACCGATTGTTACTCTCCTGTCTGAGCTGCCACTTCTATAAATGCCCAGCTCCAACTGTTGTTAGTCCCTGGTTCAAACCATCATACCCATGACTGGCTGGTTCCATTGTGCGTCTCATTCCAACTGTCCCTCCAATATCTGTCCCATTCCAATTACCATGACTCAGCTTCCAACGGCCATTCCCATAACTCCTCGTTTCCAACAGTCCCTTGTTGGTCCCGGTGGCCACGGCCTTTCTTGGTATGTCCACACTGCAGCTGGGAGTGAACCGTGTAGCCCAGCAGACAGACTCATGCTAGCGCCGCTGAAGCTACCACGCTAAAAATAGCCATGTGGCTGTTGCGCCATTAGCGGTGGCTCTGGTGGACCCAGCGTGTGGGGCAGGCTTGGACCTGGGTGGCTTACCAAAGGCTACAATGCCCACGCTATTGTTTTTAGTAGGCTAGCCAGCCCAAGGCTCACTCCCAGCTGCAGTGTAGATATTCCCCCGGCGTTCTCTCTTCCCCGCTCATAGGGAGATCATCACAAACCTCCTCGGGCCAGAGAGGCGAAGAATACGCCTTGGTCAACACTTAAAAATTAGATTGACGTAGCTATGTTGGTCATGGGTGTGAAAAATCAGCCCTCCCCCTTGACTGACATGGCTACGCCAACCTACCCCCCCAGTGTAGACGCAGCTATGTCAGTGGAAGAATGCTTCTGTCGCTATAGCAACCGTTGTTAGGGGAGGTGCTGTTCCTACAGAAAGGGAAAACCGCCATTTTGGAAAATGGAGGAACGGCTGTGTCTACACGACGGAGTTCTGCCGCCATAGCTACAGCGCTAGAGTCTCTATCGTGTGGCTGTGGGCTGAGTCAAGGTGAGAGCACAGTTCTGATTTCGCAGCCAGGAGCACTTCCACGGGGCAGAAATGCCCTGGGACTTCCTGGTCACAGGGGCTGGAGCTGGAGCTGGAGCTGGCTTTTGACCTGTGCACGTCACCTGGCTGTTGGGAGTCTATGCAGAGTTCACTGCGTGGCCTTAGCGTGGGCTGAAGGCGTGACAAGGAGGCACTCCCACCTCCCTCTGTGACCTCGGGCAAGTTACTTAACCTCGTTGCATCCCCCCGCTGTAAAATGGGGGAGAGGAGAAATATTTTTTTCTCCCAGGGGTGTTGGGAGACTTGGCTATGTAGTTAATGTTTCTACATTGCTTTGAAGTTGCGAAGTGCGATGTAAGTTCTAAAACTGATTAAAATGACTATTATCTCTTATGCGCAGGTCCGAAATCCGAAGTTCAGGAGATAGCGAACACAAAAGGAACTTCCACAACCCCAACCCTGGTAAGAAAAGAAGGAAAAATTCAAATTTGCCCTTGTCCTATGACCTCTTGGGGCCATTTGCTTGTCTCTCACTGATAGGCATCTGCTTTAATGGTTCCTGCTCAACTATAAACTGCTAAAACAATAGAAGCATACATTCTTCAA